TAATTGTTGTAATTAACAATTATTAGAATTTATCTTACTGCTTATTAATATATTCTTTTTACGAATAATCAATGCAGTTACATTATTTTTCGATTTACAATACCTATTAATTTTGGAAAATACTTAAATAGAAAAAAATTCGTCAAATTGTGTATGTTTAAAATGTTAGTGCAGCTCGTTTATACCACTGACGTATCTTCCCGTATTTTAAAAGCATAGTATCGATCTAAATTATATCATCTCGTAAAGTATAGAAAGAAATGAGTCACATAATATGCAGGATTAGATATTTGAATCTCAGGGGATACTTCCATTGCAGGGTGAATTCTTAATATTCCTCGAAAACTCCAACATTGATTTTGATGTGTTTGTGATGTTTCATCAACAATGAAAAATAGTTTTTCATTTTATTAATCCTTTGGGAATCAATTTAAAAACTTTAATAACTAATGTTTAAAATTGATGATATCATTTTTTAAGAATTACCCTTAAACAATTTTTCGATAATTCGATTGACAAATTGAAAAAAGTACGTAAAATATTTAATATAAAAGTTTAATAAAGCAAAAAAAAGCGAGAGTATATGTAATAGTAAATAATGCGAGATTGCACAACAGTTGATGAACTTTTGCTTTGAAACATTGTATACTATGTGATTTGCATGCGATGCTTACACGTACCCCTTCTCTCTGTTTTACCTGATCGACGCAACGCACGTGGGTGTCACAAGTCGTAGTTTAAATGAACTAGCACGAGATTCATTCACGATTCCTCCATTCAATGTGATTCGAACATTTTCACGTTCCTCGCTCAACTTTTTCCCGTTGGCTCAACGAGGCGAGTCACTCGGGACATTCGGCCTTTAACTTTTTATATACTATGCATATTGTATTTGTTTTTCTTCTGCCCGACACTTTCTTCTTCTAATTGATTAACAACCACCTCGACAACGTTTAATTACGTCATTACGTTGCAACAGGATGAGCAAAGAAGCGCCAGTGCCACTAGCACTCTGCAATAGGTATGCTGCGACTTCTCTTATTACAAGACACATTAATAAACTCATTTCATTTCTTCCATTTTTCTCAATTCCCGCTGGTAATAATAGAATCATTCAGTGTTGTCAGGTATAAGTTATTAACACTTCCATCTTGATTAATTCCATTTTTTTCATTACTATATTTCCGATCATTTGACTCAAATATGAAAAAAAGTTAGAAACGCAGAATTTTGTTATTTGTTTATCATGAACAGGAAATGCTATCTATACTATTAATTAACTACTGCAATTACTGACTAATTTTCAGTTATTTTCCAAAAATGAAGGTTAGGCATAAGAACGTAGTGATTACGATTTTATCATTCTTCTGTAGATGTATTCAAAATTGTTTTCAATGAATTTTGAGTTAAAAAACAATTTTAAAAAGATAAATGTAGAATTTATTTTCCGCTTATGCTTAATATAAAGAAAATCATGTTATGTATTCAAAAGGAGCTTCATAATATTTGTGAAACCAAATTTTTGTAGCCCAACAATTTTTCCCATTCTAATGAAGGCAAAACTTGTATAAAGTTTATCAAAATTTTGGTCGAAACAAACATTTTTGTTGTCTAGGCATAATAATTTGCCTGAGTCTATAAATTAAATAAAATTGATCGTATGTTGTTGTTCTTTATAATCTCTTAATAATTGTTATTTATGACTGAGAGGTAAGAAATATAATACACTGAAATGTGAAAATACTTTCTTGAATCAATTTAGAAAATGTATGCATTGAATCTAATTACATTGTGGGCGAAATAGCTCCAGGCAAAACTATTTCTAGCAAATTTATAGCAACTGATTGTCGAGTGTTTCTTGCACACGCGTAAGGTCAGTCTTTCAGTTTTCTTTGTGACTGTTTGCGACTGTTTGCGACCACAAACTCGAGGACAGGTTAATCTGTAATGTCAGTTCCAGTGGGCGAGAATTTCTGCTACTTGAGAGCAAAAATGTTTACGTTCATACGTTCACATACTTAAAAGAGAGACTCAAATCTCTTCAATTTATTTATTGCCATTTTCAAAAAATTATCCGTTACCTAGTGTTTTTTCAAAAATAATTGAATGTAAACCTTCTTTTGAAAAAACTGTTTCTAGAGACATCTTTGAATTTTTTCCCTCTAAATTCTAGTAAATGGTCTTTAAATTTGAATGTATATTCTATTTTCAAAGTCGAAGAAAATGAAATAAAAATACTTCTGACCCTAAGCAAGCATTGTTTTTTATAATTGGATGCGTGTTTGAGTGGTTGCACTTATAATTTAAAGAAGCTCAGTAAGAAATCAGGAAATTCAAGTGTCTATTAAATTTGCATCTTAAGACAAGTCTTAAGATAATAATATTAAAGGAAAATTTAAATACTCTATAATTATTTGCTTATCATTAGGAAATTAATTCAATTATCCAACGAACGTCTCAATTTGTTAATCTAGAAATTATTTAAATGCGTTGACGATCATTATTGAAAATAATTTTTAAACACGATTCGGTAAAATCAAAACTCATCCAGCGTGAATAACGAATTAGCTTTGTCAGAAAGACGAAGATTTTGAATAACAAGAGTCCTATTTTGGAGAGGGCCCATTCTAATTATATTAACTCAAGGAAAACTGGTCGTTTGCACGCACTGAGAAGAGTCACTTGCGATTAATTAATAAACTCAAGTGTACATTTGGCTCAACACAAGCGTAACTTTCTAAGCTGAAAAATTGAGTCAATTTGAACACATTATAGTAAGTGTTGTTGATTTGACACAATTTAATGCAATTTAATGCAAAATATGTTATTAGGAATTGCTTCATGAAGCTTTGTTTATAATATTTGTACTTAGCAGAAGTATGATGGAAGCATTTTTTAAATGGTAAAGAAAAGGGGTCAGATTACCTTTTTTTTAGTTCACGAACTCACTCATTGTACTAGTTAGTATTCAAGGGGTTAGAAGCGTGAGTGCAAGGCACTTTTCTCAATAGAGAAACGTGTCGAGTGATCGTGTTGAACAAATCATCGCGACGGGAAGCAATTCACGAAATTAACATGATCATTTTCTCTATTCACTCGGATGTGTTCTCAATAAAACGTCAAGGAAGTATCCGTATTCTGAATGGATTTATTATTTCATGTATTTTTCTCCTGATACAAAAGAATCTATCCACTCTTTATTTTTTGCAAAAATTTTCCGGTTGTTATTTTGTTAAACTTACTAACTGAATTTTTATAGACAATTTTTGCTGATAGTATTAGGAAAAGGTTTGTTGTACATATTTTAAGTGAGATGCAAGTAAAACCCACGTGCGTCCTTCGAGTTCAACCTATATCTATACTGCTTTAACATCAGCTTATCGTAGTTGTAGGTGCCTACCTAATAAAAACATATCACCTGCCAAACGGAAGGTGAGAAAACTCTCTTGATATTTATTATTATTGCAGCTAGGTACATATTTTATGAGTTTTCAATGAGATTATATTTCATTCTCTTGGTTATATTGTGAATGATGTGAAATTAAGTCAGTAATAAGTTATCGATTTGTTTATTAAACAATTGATTTTTCACCAATAAAAAATTAAAGATAAAATTCCATACTTGACTCTTATTTTACCTGGAATCTCTTTTTGTAATGCAATAAAAATTCTTGAAAAATTTAGTTTTTGTTTGAATAGGAAAAATACACATTTAAGAGATAGTTCTCTATTGCTAAGTTTGTTGAAATATTTAATGTTTCTTGTACCTATAGAAATACATTGAAATGACTATAATTTGATATTCAATATAAACTGCATGCATACAATTCACGAAGGACAACTCGTTGTGCCTTGTTCCATTTATATCGTGATAACGAATTGATATAACTTGACTAATTATCGGTGAAGAGTCAGAGCGGTGCATTATTTGTCAAGATAATCTGATTTATTAAGAATTATGCGTGCATTCAGGTTTATTAAATACACGCGCTCTTGTAAACGTGAGTGCATTAATAAATCGTGAATCAAACCCGTTTCCATTCAACAGCAACTCGACTTGTCAGTGTGCCTTTTTAAAATATACTTATTTTCAGAAATGAAAAACCATCCTCTCAACTTTATGCTTAACGTACGAAAGTGAAGGTAACTTCATTGCCATACATTTTGCCATTCATTTTGCCATTTTTCTAACATGAGTATAGGGAAGGTGCAAATGAATTTTCAGCAGGCAAATTAAATTTGTTGCTTCCGTGATAATTATTCTAAGTTTATATTGGAAATTAGTTGACAAATATTGTGCAATGAGTGTCGACAACAATAGAAAAGAAATAATAATGGCAATAACAATAGAAATGGGATGTTAATGAAAGCGGAAGGCTGGCTGAGTTGAGTGAATGTAAAGAGGAACCCTCAAGTAGGCAGTTCTCAGTCACCGGCAATTCCCTTTTGCCCTTTATCACTTGGTCGAGAGTTGCTCTAGATCTGGAACAAGGAAGTCCTTAAATGCAACTTTTAGTCTTCAGTGTTGGCGCGGTTGGCGCAGTATTTTCTACTGACGAATTTATAGCAGTTGCGACTTTTGCAGTTGCTGTAATGTTCCTCATCTCGTAATGCCTTCCGCTTTCCCACAAAGGAGTCCGTCTCAAAAACTAATATTCAATACCGCTCGTTGCGAACCGTTTAACGAATTGTAACGGTTATTGTTACAAGTGGTGTTTCACACGAGATTTAATTCCTTGTAGTCATATCTACATTTATCTCCTGCATAAGTAGATGAGTCAATTTTGACTGGTTTAACGAAAACATTTGCTTAGTTTATTGTTATTCCTTCTTCTTATGTAATTTTTATGATTCCAAATATAGTTAAATTTGCGGAAAAAAAGTTTACTCTCCTTTTTTAAGTTTTACTGTCGATCTCCAAGTTCAGATTACTTTTATACTCGTTATACTCTTTGTAACCAAAGTTGTAACTAAACTAAATGATGTGGATATTCTTTCAGACTTTCAGAACCGACAGAATCGCTTGGCACAGCGAGGGCGGAAATCCTCATCGATCTGGAAGAAGTTGGTCGTGCACGGAGTGTGACTGGGACACCGAAAGAGGAAGGAAAGTCGACAAAGAGTAAAGAGCTTCTCGGCAGTGACAGAATGTCGTTCACAAATCGATTCCCATCTTCCCAACACACACGATACCGTAGTAGCTGGGGGCCCTCGTCGGTCTCGGTTTTCAATAGGGTTGATGTTCCAAGGCCGTCAGCCGAAGAGGAGGAATATGCAGACTTTTATCACGAACGCTTGCACTCAGCTCAAAGTCGGCAGCTGATACCCCTTCAGGAGGATCTCGCTGACTGGATCAACAAAACCATCAGTAAGTTTGTAGATTTCGATTGAGCGTTTATTTTTGTTTAACAAATATTAAGTTGCTGTTTGTTTGTTGTACATCAAACGCACGGACCATGAGAAAGTGGTCGTCCAATCGATGATCTGGGCCTTTCTCACGGTTATTCAAATAAAAGTTTTGTCTTTTGACCTGCGAGGACAAGAGGCCATTAATCAAAACGCAATTAGCCTTGCAAAACATTGTTTATAGAAATAAGTGGATGAAAATATCTATTTTATACTAGTTGGTGAGGTCGACTCTGCCATTCGAGTGAGTGATTTTGCAGAGGCGCGTTTCCACTCGGTTTAATGAAATTTTTTCCTTCGATGGAGCTAGACAGCTAGTTGGCATTCTGCGAAGCGTACGTGGTGGAAGCCAGTGGAAGCAGGCAGCCGAAGGTTCGCTCTTTTACGACCCTCGCGAAATTCGTGAGACGCGCAAGCGTGGCACATTATGCGTAATGCGGCATCAGGTCCTTTCCAAGGGATACATGTATACGTGCATGGTGTCTTTATAGTCTGCACAGGATAAGCCGCGAGGGGAAGGGGGTGGGGTCGGCCAACTTCCGGTGAGTCAGAGTTGTTGGCAGATCCTCACGTTTTTACATGTGATCGCCGCACATGCATGTTCGTGTTTACGCTCCCATCTGTTTGTCCATTGTACGAGATATATAAATGTATGTAGACTTATTTTTTATTTGTGCAATATTCATTATACATGGTAAACACGGGTCACTTTGTCTAAATGTTAATCAACTATGAAAGCGATCTGCTGAAAGCCTTTTGCACCCCTTATTTGGAGTTAGCCAGCCAAGCAAGGGTCAGCGCCAGAGTCTCGTTCGCTGGAAGAGAGTTTCACTCGAATGTGGCTGCGGAAATATGCTTCGAGATTTAAGGCCAAAAATTGCATCAAATCGTAAAACTCGTTCAATTCCATAACAGATTCCACATAAATTATTACACACTACAGTATGAAAATCCTGTCTCCTCTTGGAAAAAGGGAAGGGCAAAAATTGTGCATAAAAAGCAATCGAAACTTTAACATTTATCGTAGCAAACTTTTTATGGAATATTATGTACTTCTTCAACTGAATTAATGGAACCAGTCGATTTAAATTTAAAATTTGTAATAATTCCATAAATTGAAATCAACGAGAATTTATATATAGAACTTTAAACACTCGTAACAGAGTTGTGAAGGACGTAAATCTCTTGATCCAGTGCTCCAAAATATGAAAAATATTGTTGTCGCGCGGTCAAGACGTCGAGGACAAAAATTAGTGGAGCATAACGTCATTGGCTCACAATTATCCAAGGTAATGGATAATTCGGCAATGAAAAATTCAACTCTTTTTTTATTACGTAAATTTTAACTAAGTAATCAAGCAGAAATGTGAAAAGGCTGTAATTTACTTAACCATTTCTTTTTTCTTTCCCCCAACAATAATTTTTATTCTCATTACTATCAATTAATTTTAGTATCCTTTTAATTTTTTACAACTATTACTTGAAGGTCTTTCTCAAGACTCGCGACAAAATATTTGCACAGATGAAAATCTTGGGTCGTACATGTAGAGTACATACCTAATAATATTTGTAAATTATATATTTTGGATAAAGTTTACAAGTGGGAATATGGTGCATCTCATTAGCAGTATCATGTGAACTGCGTGGTTACTGCATCAGCCACCTTCGAAATCACATGTGCAGCCGCTCTTGATTTTATTTATTTATGCATCGACTCGCATTGGTTCCTTATTAGGAAAGCGATCTCGTTGAAAGGCGGTCGCAATTTCCATGTGTGTACACTCGGTTACAATGCATTCTCCTCCTTATTTTCTTTTACTCCAGAGACAAAGGACAAAGGACACGCGCAGCTATAAGAAAAGTTTTCAATTTTACTCTGTAAACAACACTTGTATAATATATGTATAGCGTCGCATGAGAAAATAGACCAAACTCTCCAGTTACTTTCAACTATAAATAAATAGTCCCACTTGAATCATTTTGATATTGCACCGAGATTCTGGCACAAAAATGTACTTTTTTGGTCCTGTTTTTTAAATGTCAAGCTTAACATTGGTCTTGACACTCACAGACGTGGAATAATTTAGACGACGATAAATTTTGACTTCTTCCTGGTATATAGCACTGCACCAAAGACACTGACAATCGTATTTGCCTTCTTGGGTACAAATACCGACCCAGTGACTATTGACAGTTTCCAACGCTGAAACAAATCCTCTTACAAATATTATTCAAAAACTTGGAACTCCTTTTGTGGTATGGTAATTTCCCGATAAAAAGCAGCTTTTGTCAATTTTTATTACTAGTATAAACGTGCATTCAAAAGTTTAGTCTTGGTATCTTAAAAGCAATATTTACATATCTCTTTTTGATTTACATTTTTCTTTCTTTGACATCAATCACGTTCGTTTTTCACTTTAATATTTCAATATATAATAAATTTATAATAAGTATGAGATGCATATGGAATTGATTTCAAATAGTTTGTTACATTTAAAAATATACTCCAAACTATAGTAATAAAGAAAGCGATTATAAAAATAATCGAACGTGGATAAAGCATATTAGTCGTGCTACTATTCGAGTGAAGTCATAAAAATTTTTACGGCCTTAGCCTCATTGGGATCTTCTTAGAATTTTTTATCATTTGTATCAATAATAATAATAATAATATAAAGAAGTTAGAATGAATGATCAGTATGAGTGTTTCCTGTATGTGGATTCCCGAAATTTGTGTTTAAAATTCGGTTTGTTAGGTTGAAAATGAATACGGTAATAAAGGCGCTTGATTTTTCTCTGTTTTTGAAAATCTCGCCCATTCATCTGAAGAGTAAATGCATATATTGCTGACAAACGGAAGTCCAAATGTTATTTATATGAATATATCCTTTCCCACGTCTCGCGCCAGATGCTCATCTTTGTAATGCTCCTGCATGCGAAGCCTTTTTGGTTTACAATTTTTAAGTCGTATATACTTCCTTATCATTGTCAAAGAAAAATGGTACACGTTAAAATTATGAAAATGAAAAAAAGTTCATGTCAATATTGGCAAATTTCTTTATACCTAATAGTAATAGTATATAAGTTTGAATTTTGAAAAAAGAAATATATTTTAAAAATGATTGCACTTTTCGTGCTAAAAACCGAAAAAACAATTTATTTATTACTTTGTATTTAAATTTCTCTAAATTTCTTCTTACAGACCGCAGGGATTTATTTATATTCAAAGTATGTCCAATTCAAACCGCAAATGTAATTAGATATCTTTCGTTAGTTTGAATTATTTTTGCATTGTAAATTAGCTTTTGTGCCTTTCTCTTTTCTCAAAATTTGTTGACAAAGTAAAGAACTCGAATAGTTTTTTAATTGAATGGTGTTTTTCATTCGTTGCACAAAAAATGTCAGTAAAATTTATTGTTTATTATTACAGTAGACTAAATTAATGTCAAATTTATCCCAACTTGAATTTTTTGACGATTAAGTAGAAAATATTTCAAATAATTAGGTAGTAAACAGTTTTTTTGCAATGAAAGTTAATATGTAATAACTTGAACGTGACTCGAAGCTCTTGAGATGTCCGAAGGTGTACAATGCACAATGCAATTCCACCTTGTCGTCTTGCGGGAGAAAAGGAGAATGATGAGTGAGTCAGAGCGATATGCGGCTCGGCGCGAGCTGTCACGATCAATCTGATCTTGTTTCGATTCTTGATACGCGATACGGATTATTGATTGGTCACCGTCAGACAAGCCGCAGCTAAATTACATGAAAAGTGTTTCTTTCGAATAATAATAAGCCGAGAATTCCCCAAGTCAGACATTTTTTATTTAGATATTGTTGAATGTTTTAAACTTTGTTCGCTATCTAAAGTTTTGCAAGCTTTATTCGAATAAAAGCGTAAAGACTAAAGAAATGAGAAAAATGCCACAGGCATAGGTATTATAATCTAACAATGAGATCTTTATGGATATAAGAGTTAGCGAATTGCGGATAAAGACAGGAGATTGAACTTTGACCTCGTAGCTATTTCCAGAAGAGGAAGATCGCATTTCCAAGCACACCGAATAATTGGCTGAGTAACCGTTTGTCAGGCTGCGCCAGGGTGGTGGATAATTTAGTTCGTTCGATCTCTCCATAACCTGAGTCGAGTCTCATAAATCAACAATGCTAAGTCCCTGTGATGGTTATCGAATTTTGTGCACGAAAAGCAGTACCAGTCAAATCGGGCACGATTATTTGTCCTTTGATTCCTTTTCTCCATTTTTTACTCCGCGCAAAGCACGATATGCGCATATAATTATGATATAATAATACTTTTGTCAATGCATGTCACATCCAATGGTTCCCTTACTTTCATCACGAAATCAAATTTGCCGTCAATTTTTCTCTCTTCGAAACATTCATTTTCAACCTATCGCATTGAAACTAGAAGCTTGGTACTTGTGTAGAATTTAAAACGTCCAAGTTGTGCAATGCACGCTTTGTTAAAAATTTTAATTTTCAGAGATTTAGGTGACATGTTTATTAATAGTTTTATGCATTCCTTTATTCTGATTCAGAAGAGTGGAGAAGTGTAAGGCTCGAGAATTTTCAAGCGTAAATTGTGCGGATTGGAACTTCTCGTTCTTCAAGCCTCGGTCAATTTTCATGGAATAGATGCGATTTATAGCGTATATGGCAGTTTACGATCAATTACAATGCTTAAGTAAACTGTTGCACTCGATGCGCTGAGCCTCTCTGTTCGCGATTTGTAGAAACAAGCATTGAGGCTCGAGGAAAATCGGCTAATCGATCTGTTATATGTTATAAGGCTGGTCATTTTTTTAAAAAACTACCCAGCATGGCAAAACAAGATGTAATTACAATGAGTATTGCCCAACTGCAAAATTAACTTGTCATTTGAGGACAAGGTTTCTCATTTGATTTGTCTCTGTGCCACTCTGTGCGAAGAATACCAATAACTAAAGTCACTTTTCCCTTTATAATTGTTTTTAAAATCTCATTACGGTCAAGCAAATCTTTTAATTGAAACACCACAAGTGCATCTGGAGATGTAGTCTAAATCAATTGAGGTTTTTCTATAAATTGAAGGTAAATGTATAAGAAAAATGGTTGAAATTCTATGACGGAAGTCCACGCGTCTCGATAGAGTCAAATATACGTGATGGGAAATAGGAACTAGGTTGGGCTTGCACGAGCGATGGAACCTCTGAGATACAAATGGTAATGAGAACCCGCGCATAGGTTCGTGACTCTCTATGACGACCTCACAACAATACGGTTGCGCCCGTACTCCTTATGATGCAGATGAAAATATTTCCACATGCCGGCTCTTGTTTGAGAAAAAAGAAATAAATAAACGATGACATGAATGCAGAGAATAATAATAATAATAATAGTAGTCTTTTAAGAATATTCCGTAAGTGTTTAACTTTTCCGAGATTAAAATTATTTTCCAAACTTGTAGCAATTTGAAAGTGAAAGTAGCAGAATCGGCTGACATCCCATGCGAGCAGGTGCAAGCGGACAATACTTTGACTAAACGATCAACTTTGTAGAAACTGGTTTAGGGTTTTCGGAATCCCTTGTAAAACAAGGGAACAACAAATTTAAAAGTCGTATTTTGATAAATTACGTAACAATGTCAAATATATAATTAAAAAGCTGTCAAAGTGCAGTTGGGTGCAGTGGAAAAAACTAAAAAAGACAGCATAAGTTTCTAATGAATGATTTTAGATGCTCTTTATTCATCCTCATTAATTCACTTGTTGAAGAATTTCGTAAAAGTTAAATAATTGGCATGATGAAGGTAAAGAGTGGCATTAGAGGAAAAAGAGAAGAAAGGGAAATCAGTGTGCCTCGTGCAAAGTCTCGTGTATGTGAATAAATAATAGGCTCGCGAATACATGTCCCTTCTCAGGGTAGGAGGATTGTGAACTGCGTCGAACAGCATAGTGAACCGCGAGGAATCGGGATCTCGGTCACCCGGAACTGGCGGCAACATATTGTCCATTATATGCGACTAGAACATCAGACACACATTTCTCATATTAGAATTTTATACCAAAAGGGATTCAAATTAGACGCAGACCGCGTATTCATTTAATAATCAAAATTCTAATAATCTTACATTTAAGAGTGCTCTTCTCTCTGTATACATAGAATACTTCATATACAACTCAAGTTGTACGATTATATACATTCGATGAATATTCTTACAATTCTGAGCTCAACTACATCAAAGCTCAAAACCTTTATTACTGCAAGTTCGCATTGTTCTTTACTCGTTTGTTATTCATTTGTGGATTTAAGCAAAACTTTCTCCTTCAGTTTTTTAATTAGCCTGTCTTTAGGGAAAATTGAGCTTTCGTTATAAAACTTGTTCCTGACAATAAAGAGATCCTTTTATGATTTTTTCATGATATGAACAAGGTTCGAACCAGTTCAAGTATTTAAAAATGCGGACTTTACAGACCGAAACTGACAAAAATATAAATATAATATTCTTTCATGAAATCTTATTAAAGTTGTATTAAAAATAATTCAATTTTTGCAAAGAATTTTACTATTTATAAAAGTGAATATTTGAATATCTTTGAAGAATTTTGTTATTTCTTTAAATAATTTAATTTTTTCAAGAATTTTTGAAAATAATTGAAATTTTGCAATTATTTGTAACTTCTCAAAAATTCTTTATATCGTTAAATTTACAAACTTTTCTTGTTTTTTCAATCAAATTACGGACATTACAGACTTTAAACAAATTTACGGACCTAATTAGTTCGCGCCCTGTATGAAGAATTTTCTTTAATTTATTTTAAGTATTTAAACACTCGAAACATTGAAATTAGAATAAAATTAAGAAATCTTGCAAAATGTATGCTTTTCGGCTTTTCCTTTAAGAAGCATGGTATAATCGCAAGAAAACGAAAACACTCGAGTTTGAATGCAATTATATAGGAAAATATTCTTTTAAATTTTGTTCCGAAAGAAAGTTCCCGATGAATTCTAAACGTCGCGTGATAATGTTTATTTCTTGAATCGATACTGCTTCGAAGAAGATTAGGGAAAAAAGTAGGCCTGCCAGGTAATTTTTTTTCTTTTTAAAACAGCAACTTCGAAGGGATTTTTGTTTACTAACTCTGTCGCGGTTTTGATCGCTCAAACGAAACTGAAATGATTTTCAGGCGCTTTGCTTGATTTATTCTCTTGCCCGCCAGCCACTTATTCGGATCGTTTCATAATTGAACTATAACGGTTTCATCTCAGCAGCAGTCGCAACGACAAATTAACCGAGTTACAGAAGTGATCTCTTTTGACCTTCCTCTTTCATTGTCCGACACTCAAAATATTCAATAGCATTTTGTCTTCAAAAACAGTAGCCATACTATCATAAAATGATAAAATTTCTGCTGCACTAACTCATACTTATTGTAATGATTAGATTTATAATTGGATGTTTGAATTCACATTAAATAGAAAAGTTTAAGTGCTTCCTGTTTCCCCTCTACGGAGTTAATGAAACACGTCAAAATGTTGCAAACTTTGCAATGAGTTGTTTCCGGAATGAAAATAAAGAAATGTTTGTACACTTTCTTTCTTATTCGGTCTTTAGCTATTAAATATTAGATTTAGATTTTGCACCCATTACTCAGACCATCACTTTTTCTCTTTTTCATTCCATCTACATAATAGTTAAAGTAAGTATAACCATGAATCAAGTTATCGAATTTTTATCTTTACGTGGAGAAAGTTTGGAAATTAATTGCCACCAGCATCAATTCACGACACTTTCAATATTTCTTAAAACTTGATAGGAAACAGATTAGACAATGTTCCATCAAATAATAATATTGCATTCCAAATGGAACAAAATTGGGAAAGGATGAAATTTATAAAAACCATTCTCGACGATGCGATGTTTATATGCAAACTTTTGTCCCCTTGCCTTATTCGAATTACGTTGCAAATAGAATTCGCCTTATTATTTTAGAAATAACTCAAAGAACTTAAGACAAAAATGATTTACCAAATGACCTACTTCTCGTCAACCATTCGATCGGCACGAAAGTTTCGCTAAACTTAGAAGGCTTCAATGATTTATGATTATGTTTATGTAGGTACGTATAAAGAAAAAATAAAACAGAATTTATGAAATTGCCATTAAATCGGTTTCGCGCTTTCTCTGTATAATCCTCCTGTTTGGAAATCATGTGAAAAATTGCCGAAAAGTGTTTTTTCACCGCAGTTCGCGCATATAATAAATAATAATTAGACGATTAATAACCTTTCGATACTATAAGTGTTAAAAAGAATTAAATGAATGTGTATCTGTTTAAGGTGTGGATCACGTAACAGGAGAGAATTTTTTTGATGCATTGGACAATGGAGCCGTGGTGTGTCGCTTGGCGAGAGTAATTCAGGAAAAGGCCAGATCAGCTATTGACTCGGGAAGAGCAAAAGGGGTAAGGCTTACGTTTCTAAATTTTTATTCGCTCACTATCGCGATAACAATACGATTCAATTGTATCACTTTACTTTCACTGTATACTCGGAATCACCTCATAATTACGTCTTTAATTAAGTTTACCTTTCATTATGTAAACAAACACAATTTAGTCCCGAGTTTAGTCGGTTTTTTTTATTTTATTGCTAATTAGAATAAAGTAGTTTTATCAGCGCATAAATGCATTTTTCACTACCAGAACGTGAGAAACTGAATTTCACCCTTTTAAAATCTTAGATTATAAAAATGTTTTACTTTTTTTTCAAGCTCTTGGTAAATATAAATTGATTTTTTATTCGAAAACAATATTTATAATAATTAGGATAATAAAATACACATATTTAAGCTATCTAACTATTAATTAATATCACTTAATTCGAAACTTTTATCAAGTTTCATCATCTCTGTATAATAAGATGATGAAAAAAACTCTCTTCTTAATAAACGAAATTTAAACACATTATTTAATTTCAATTTTGCTTCACAATTGAAAATAATTTGATTTTTTTCAAATAAAATAGAATTTTTGTTTTGTCTGGAAACATTAAATTATTAATTTAAATTTTTAGCCGGTACCAGTAATAAGAGGACGGTGCTGGGAAAATGCTGCCAGGCGAAGTTTTTTTTCACGTGATAATATGGAAAATTTCATACAATTTTGCCGACGACTTGGAGTTCATGAAAACCTTCTATTTGAAAGTGATGATTTAGGTAACGTTGGTTTTTTTTTTAATTATTTATAACATTCTTTTATGTTATACATCTATTTCCTACAAAAGTAATTAGTTCCATTATGTGTTGCGGAATACAAACATAAATAAAATTTTGAGAAACAGAAAATTCTTAAAGTTTTAGGTAATAAGGAAGAATTAATGAGAAATATAAATTTGAATTAACAGTCAAATAATAATTGATACATTAGATTGATAATTATGTATATATATATATATATATGTATATGACAGAAAACTTTCCTTTTAATTGGATGCGATTGTATTTATACAACGTCTCTATTAATTAAAATTCCCAAAATTAATTTCCGAATATTTGATGATTAGATTACCGTTATTCATAATTGGAGTCGAAATTAATAGAGGATTTCTAAAAATTTACATTAATTTTCTTTTTATTTACGAAAAGTGATAGTTATTTTTTCTAATTAATTATGCGCAGAGAGTGAAATTGTTTTGAATAATTATTGCAGTTGAAATAAGCGCATTGTGAATAAAATAAAATTATAATAATAATAGTGATAGAGGAAGTCTGATTCCCATGTGATATTAGTTTGATAAATGCTCGTAATTATATACTTTTCTCGAGAAATGCAAGTTAAACCCTCCGGCAATTACTCGCGCTCGCGTCTCGCGACCAGATCAGACTCATAACTGACCCACTGATTGAGAGTGACGCACCAATACCAACATCAGAGCCTTTGCGAGTGACATTTGGGCCTTGAACACGTGGGAAAGAGCGAAACTGTCTACAATAGTTGTTTATTGTTATTGTAACTGTAACTGTCTCTCGAAGTCAAGTTTTACAAATTTTGTCAAGTTTTCATAAAATTGAATATTGTAAACAAATGGATTTGAAAATTGAAAATAATTTTGAAGAAGTACAATATGCTTATAATATAAAATAATGATTTTATCACTGGGCCATCTTTAATTATTATAAAACTTGAAGATATCGATAACTCCGAGTCGAAGACTCTCCATGTTTTATAGTTATGAAAAATTGAATTTATAGTTTTGAGTAAAATGTTTTCTTATTTGACTCGGACGGATTATATTTTTGTCAGTAATTGGTCCGTAAAGTCCGTATTTTTAAATACTTTCACTGCTTCGAGCCCTGCTACCAGTCAACATTAAAGTTGGTGAATTTTTTGAATTTTCACACGAATAATACGCAAATGTATATAATTTGAACTGCCAACTTCCTGAACATTGAAACAGGCTTTAAATGGCTCAGGTATTTTCTTTTAAAAAGTTTATTCGAGATGAAAATTGCAATCGAGGGATTTTTTCCTTTTTGTGTCATACACTGTGCAACGTCACTCATTGTCAGACTGGAGCCTGCCTTTTTCATTCTGTAGGAGTACAAAAGCAGCAGAGTCAGCTTGATACTGTCCTCTCTCATTCACTCTTCGAGTCTTCGATGGAAAAATAAGGAAAAAATCGAAGCATATCTATATAGTCAAGTACTTACTTTGATATTAGAGAATATCTCGAATAGAAATCAACTTCTGGCTACAACGAGTACAATCGATAACAGAGAGGGTCTACTCTAGACGAGACAGCATTTTCAGTATTCACTGAATCGAGATCATTTTCAATTAAGTCGAGTACCCAATTTATGCAAATGACGTTTATCGATGCAAATCAAAGAGAGGCTCTCCATCACAGTACGAATTTTTTTTATACTCAAATGTCTTTGATGTTCTCTGTTTGTATAGTCATTTCCCCGGCCGCTCTTTGGGAAAGTAGTTCCTATTTTTATTTTATTTTTTCAAGTGACAAAATAGTCCTGAAACGTGTTTAAAATTCGTACTTGAAATTGAACTAATTTTTCAAATAAACATGAAAGATTGCTTTATGAAGAATTATGTCTACTCTTTCAGTTTTGTGAGTATAATCAGAACTTTAAATTTTTCGTTCAACTTTGAATGAGTTTCCGTTTAAAACCCTCAAGTTTCGACTACCGTCGTCGAAATAGTTTGAAAGCTACAAGTGTTGTGGTTTCAACTTGTCCAACATAAATTGAGACAAGTTTTCAACTCTCAAATTTAAAGGCTGTATATATCAGTGTTGGTATTGTTAATTTTGCCAAATTATTCGAAAGTCTAAAAAAGTGGATTTTCGAAAGAATGAATGAAAAAATAATAAAGCTTTTTAATTTTTAGTTTTACACGGACAACCCCGAAATGTGATTCTATGCCTCCTGGAAGTGTCGCGATTGGCGGCGCAATTCTCCGTGGAACCGCCGGGTTTGGTGCAGCTCGAGAGAGAAATCGCTGCCGAACAGGAGCGAGACCTTCACTGTCTGTCGGACAGTGGCATTTCCCACAGTAGCTTAGTCTCCTGGCAGTTCCAGTCCCCATCGCCGACGGCGTCGCCGAGGCCCCAACCGGAGAAAATGAAGCACAGCAGGTACGCAGTCTGAAAATCCAAACAGAATCCAAACAGAATCCAATCAGTTTCATTGTATCATTGACACCTTTGATTTTGCAGCTCGGCCAATGAAATGAGCACGACAACGCCGCACTGGTTGGACCCCGCAGCGGAAACAAATCACGAGTCGGAAATGAGAAGATCTGTCAGCGACAATGGACCGACCGGAAGCGACGGAGTTCCCAGTGACACGACGGAAGACGATTGGTCACGAGGCAGCGCGGAGGACCCGGACGAAGTTCCATCGCCCTCGAGTTCTCCGCCTCCGTCGCCTGCCGAACCTCCGGAGCACACGGGACCAATCACAGAACTCGACCGCAAAGTACGTGTAAAGTTGCTTCGTTATAGTTGTTGACAGTTTTTATTTCTTATTGGTAACAAATTAAAAATTGCTTATATGCAGAAATGAAAACGTCTCTTAAAGAAGGACGATCGATAACTGCATCTAGAAAATAAGTTGCAGTTTTTTACAAATTCAATCAATTCAAAGAAACTCGACAAATTATTGAATTAATAGAGTTATTAATAGTTGAGCGATAACCAATAATTATTATAGACGTCTCGATTATGGAGATTCGATAAATATTAGTTTACAACATGGACAGTAAGATAAACAGGTTTTTGAATTAACGACAGGAAATTGAATTTCGAGCAATGGGTGCAGAAAAATTATCGAAAATTACGTAAACGTAAACTAACTTCCGGTCGTTAGTTTTGTTTGTGTGTGTGTGTGTGTGTGATTCTGACATGCATGAATTAGTATTTTCAATCATATGTATAAGAAGCGAACAATTGAAAATGTCGAGTGATAGAATAAATACTTGGAGGAGAAATAAATAGATGATTTGACCTCGTTGTGAGTGGTATCGAATAGGAGGAGGCAATTCAACATCTTATTTAATAAAAATTTACTTTTTATATAATATCAAGTATAAATAGATTTTAATTTAATACATACCAACGGCAATTATTTTGTACTGCAAATATTAAAGCAAAAACATTTTGACATTCTTTCATTATATTATTAAATTTTTTACTGTAGTTACAGTTTATTGACTTTTTATTCGTTGTTACAGGTGAGAAGAGCGACCGAGGCCGTTCAAAGGCTTTGCCAATGTCCTTCGAATAAGTGCTCGAAACTAAAGGTCCGAAAAGTTGGGGAAGGTCGATATCATATAGCTGGACGTAATGTTTTCATCAGAGTAAGTAATTTCAAAGAAATACATACTCTCAATAAAATTATATATATTTATTTTCTTAATTCAGCGTATAATATTTTCATTTCATTTCTAAAAATAATTTTTATTTATAAATACCTACATTTCGAGAAATAAATGTCAATTTTCATTTAAAAATTTTGAATTTAATCAAGATCTTCATAGTAAGTATTTATTTATGATTTAAAAGTTTGAAATTTTGGATGAAAGAAATTACAAGTTTTTTCGCTTTTTTACCTGAAAATGAAAGCACTCGCTAAATACCGTTCGCCCTTGACTCGACGTGAAGGGCAATTCTTCTGGAAATGCTTGACTAATTATCGCGGCACTGTTGCAGCTTCTGAAGGGAAGACACATGATGGTGAGAGTGGGCGGAGGGTGGGACACCCTGGAGCACTTCTTGGCGAGGCACGACCCCTGTCAGGTGAGGGTTCTCAGCCGTGAAAGCACCCCACCCCCTCACAACAACAACAACAACAATAAGCACAGCAACAATTTTCTCCACATTCGAGCCAAGTATCGTAGCACGCCGACTGACAATCACCGTGCCTAATCCGCATTACCACCCATGCAAAAAATCGAGCTTCTCCATTCCCTCCACCCATCCTCCTTACAATTAAACTCTAACGAATTTTCTTATTCAAGACAATTTTCATTCAGCACTCTACGTAATTACAAAGTACGTACGTCAAATATCACTTTCTTTACAGTTTCCTAACTTTCAAGATGGTAATTTAACTTTAAAATTGCTAAAACTTTTCTTCGTTAAAATTAAATTTTGTTGGTTCTTTGTTTTTATTATTAATTAATTTATTTATTAATCACTGGTTGAGGTATTGATATTTGCAAATAAAACTATTTAATCAAACTTGTGCCAAGTGACATAAAAACAGTAGAAGAAAAATCTCTGTGTTTGCACTTTTCTTGACGTTTTGAAATTATTTAAAAAAAAGTTTTAAACTGAAAAACTTTTCTTTAAATATATTACAAACGTCAACTTTAATCTGGGCATATTTTGTCATATCAACTGCATATTATATTCATTAAAATTATGCAAAATATTTCGAACATTAAAGACTAGATTTTCCAATACCTCGATCGATGATATACTAAAATGTCACATTGACTTTGTTTTGTGACTAAATTTTTATCAAAATTTGTTAAATTGCAAATTCAATTTAAAAAATTGTAAATATAAAAGACTTATTATAAGTCGTAGAGAATATTTTTGTTTCATTTTTTTTGTGAAGGGAAAATTTATTATTTTTCAAGTTTCAATTATTTCCTGAATTGTAAACCTTTGATTGTAAATTTTCATGTGTTTTGAAAACATTTTTGTTTTCATTTGAAACTAACAAACATATATTCACCTACATCGTTGATTGTACAAATTTTCTTATATTTGTATTTTTCATTATAATATTCTACATTTTATGTGTATTAATGTATATTTATCTCACATTTCACGCCTAAATCACAACAATATAGAGGTAAAGTTGAGGTTTAACGAAATAAAAAAAAAATAGTGGTTAAAACATTTTTCTCATAAAAGTAACCACTGTTTTGTTTATAGGTACATATTTAACTTTAGAAAAAGAACCAAAATAATACGTGATGCCTTTGTGTTTATTGAATTTAAATTTGCTATGATTAATTAGTAAAATTTAAAGTAGAAATCTAATAAATTATTTAAACTTTAGTTGAATCACGTACATATTTTTTGAAATAGTGAGACCAATGCACGGAATATAAAGACATAGTTGGTTCTATAGATTTAAGAAAGCAATGACCAAACTTCGATGTTGCCTTATTCTTAAGTACTCCAGATCACGAGTCAAACAAGTCTAAAACAGGAAATGTGCATTTTTTCCATTTTCACTATAAAGCCAATGCATAGGATTTTTTAATAAACTTTTCACTTAAATGATTGAAAAAAAGTGCAATTACAATCTCAGGAATAATAAATTCTCAAAGTATTCTTAATCACATATAACTTTTTTTCTTGTATTTTTAAAACTTTTTCAATTTAAATTACATTAGATTCCTCCATATAATATTATTGTGATAAAAACATTCCTTTTGATATTTGGTCATTGCTGATACTAATACAGAATCAATTTTTATATATTATCTAATCCGCAGAACAGAATCACTTATAAGCGCATATTAATTATTAATTATTAGTGTAGATATTAAAAATCAGGGTTGATTTATTCCAGAATTTATTTAAAATAAATTATTCATTTAAAAACAGTTGATAATAATTGATAATTTATTATCAATTCGAAAATGTTAAATTTTCTCCAACATTTTTTATGGTATAAAACATGTAAATTTATTTATAAAACATGAAAGCGAAGATTATGAAAAATCTTATTTTGTTCCCACTGAAATTTCGAAATTTGAAGAAACTCGATAAAATAAAGAAGCATTTTCTTTATATATTTTAGTGAATTCTGTTGCAAGTGAACGATCCTGATACTGCACTTTTGACACTAAAGTAAAAATAATATCACACACAGGTATTCGGCTGGCACTCAAAAACGCTTAGCTTGTAATCGTATATATTTTACAACTGTATATCTTTTGTACTTTTATACACGTAAATTTAGATATTAATGGAAGGCGATTGAAAAAATGTGTAAGAATAATTCGATTTCCAGAAATGCAAGAGCACTTTGTGTAAAGGAATACCAAAGCAAAGAATAGCGCGACAGATTTTGTCGGCACGTTGATGAGGCAATACTTTCTCGAGAAGAAAAATCCATGTAATTGGCTTCATTGTATATTATTAGGTATTATCATCGTTATTACTATTTACTGCCTCTACACTCTGTATATTATAAATTATAATTTTGTCACGGGTGATCATTATGTTCTGGACCTTTTAAAACAATTATTTGAAAAATATTTTTTCTTTATGGAACAGAATGATATCACCCTGTATATTATTTACCTAATGTAAGAAATGTATTTATTATAAATATTTAAATCCTCTCTATTGTAAACTGAGGAAATTAGTTAATTTTTCAAGAAAAAAATGTTTTGGTTCTAATTGCCATAAGATTTGACTTCGAGTCATATTATTAATGTTGTTTATTATTAGATTTTTGTTTTGCTTTCTATTAAATCGTGGAGAATTCATTCATTAGCTTAGAGTATAAAAATTGAATTTGCTTTTTAAAAAAAGAATATTTTCTCTTCAATTTCGTTGAATACAGAAGAAAAAGAAATTCAAAGTAAACTAATTATTATTAAACTTAAATATTGATCAATATTTAATTAAAATTGAAAGTTCTCTTTCTGAAATGCATTTTCTAATTGAATTTGCTAATTGGTGGATTCACCTTAAATGACATTCGCCATTACGAAAATAAATTGTTTCTGTTGGTAGCAATAACTTTGTACCTGCTTTACTTATTTGCGACGTTTTTAGTATTATCGATCATTTTGTATTTAGCGAGAATATCGTAATTTAATACATTCCGTTAACATTTCACTTATAGAATGTTAAAATAAAATAACTTTTTTTGAATGCGAAAACTTTTGGAAAACATTAAAATTGTTCCTCTTTTTTGAAAAAGTGTTGAAATGCAGATTTCTACGATTCTCAATTTTCCAATCTTCCAGTTTCAACGGGTGATCGCAATGTAGTTGTATAATATAATCGTAAGAAACTTAAATTGTTACCTTTTGTTATATAATAAATATTTGCATCTTAATATATTCGTCTTTTTTTAATTTACTTTAAAGGAAAATAAATTGTATTCCACTTTTATTTAAATGTCGTTCATTTATTTAATGTGCGTATTATAAATGAATTTAGCGACTATAAATTCAATCAGTTGTACAATCAAAATCTTAAAAATAATACAATAGTAAAAATGTATCAAAATTCAAATACTACAAATCTACCTTTGGAGAATGGTCAAAACTTGAATAGTTTTGTAATTTCATCAATTCATCTATTATAATGTTATGTTCGTTTTATTTTTCTACAAGACTTGTTTTACTCTAAATGCATTTGTCTTTTTGCGGGAATAAATATATTAAATGATGAGTAACTGATAAATAATAAAATGGATCAATGTCTTGTAAAGATTCAATAAATTTGTTCTTACTTTTTCTTGCTTTTGCCTAGAGTTAGTGTGTGATGCTGGGTTTGCTGAGCAACTTGGACTTTTCGACGATTGAGTTCTTGAATGTCGTCCTCCAATTTCTTGCGACTCTCCTCGAGTTTCTTCTTTTCTTCAGTGTGATCTTTTTTCAGCTTATCGAACCTGTTGTGTAACTGTTAACAAACAATTTCGACAGTTGTACCAAAACTTGAACTGCATAATCGTTACTTTGCAATTGAAATATTAATAATGTTAAATTGTTCTTACTTCTTTCTCCGCCTCTTTCAACTCGGCTTCAGCGTCTTTCACACGCGCCACAAACATTTGCCTCATTTCATCCTCCTTTTGCTGAAGTTCCTGCAAGTGGGTCGAGCGCTTTGCTTCGCAAGTTTGTTGGAAACTCACCGGCTTATTGTCACTGTCGACATCACTGAATCCCATCTACATATCGGAAATAATCTTACAGTCAAAGTGGGAAAGAGGAGAAGCCTTATAAATTCTGTTTCTATTACCTGCTCGAGTCTCTTCTTGCGATACAATTCGTAGTGACGGCAGTGTGTCTTCTCTCGCATATCTTCCATGTTAGTTCTAATGAGCATTTCGCGCAATTTCACAAAGTCGCAATGTGATTCATTCTCGACTGAAATTCAAAATTAAGTTTAATGCAAACGCAAGATGAATTGTGGAGTGCAAGTCCAGAAATATAAGCTACCTTGCACTGTGCCCCAAGGATATTGCCTGGAACGCATCATTTTATTCCCAACGCGAACAAAGTCAGTACTGCCAACGACTGCAAAAGGCACGTGCGTATTCATCGAAGTGTTTACATCAGCAACACTTTCATCATCAGTTGGAAATTGATAAATATGCACTCCATTGTTTTGCAATTCGGATATTATTTTACTCTGCACATAAAAGAATTTATTGAAAAAATGTCCAACTTTTATTTCTTTCTTATTTCAGTTAAACTGAAATTAAAGCTTACCTTAAACTTTTGTAGTTCAGTTTTTGAAATTGTGTCAGCCTTGGCGATAATGGGAATAACGTTAACTTTGGTATCGAGTTTCTTCATACATACCAAGTCGATGGATTTTAGTCTATAAACAAATTTAATAATTTCAAGATAAATAAGATAAAAAAGACAAATATTTAAAAAGATTCGATTCAGGCAACTTACCCATGACCCGTTGGACAAATAAAGTAAAGACAGACATGAATGCGACTGTCGTGATAAGTAGATAGCGAGCGTTTTATCTTGAGTTCCTCTTGCAAGTAAGCCTCAAACTGGGCATCGATATAGTCGACGACAGCTTTAAAACTGTCCTCTTTATTAATCTGATCTCCGTAGCCGACTGTGTCGACGATGGTGAGTTTTAGTCTCACATTGCTTTCCTGCAGCTCATAAGTGTGGGCCTTCAATTTCACCGCAGGCAAATTGTGAGGACTTGGGCTCGCTTCGAAGCTCGTGTTAAAAAGCGAGTCCATGAGTGTTGACTTTCCGAGTCCAGTTTCACCTGAATTGTTAAATCAAAATATTTCATCTAGAAATCTTCAATTTTATAACTTTCTCTTGCATAAGAATTCACAATATTGCATAAAAAATGTTTCAGTTTGTAATTTCGAAATAAAACAATATGTAAAATTTATTTATTTATTTTTCAATCCCGTGAAAACGAAACAATTCATTCAACAAATTCAAAACTTAAGATTGGAAATCAATCATGATGATGATGATGATGTATAAAAAATATTATTATTGACACTAGAAAAGGAATTATTTCGGAAAACAAAAAAGTTCTTAATTATTATAGTTATATAGTTGAATAATCCATAGAATTTCGCCAATAAAATTAAATATCAACCGAAAATGTTTCAACATTTCCTGTGAACTTGATAATTTAATTGATGTAAAATATTAATTTCAAATTATAGGATATTTTTAAATAGGTATAAAATCATGAGCTTCGATCAAAATTCTTTGAGGTTAGAAAGCATATTATTTGTTACAATGCTAATGAAATTAAAACTAATCAATAAAAACATTATTTATAATTTCATTGAAAATGATTAAAAAATAAATCTACTTACCAATGCACAAAATGTTGAAAACAAATCCATTTTGAACAGATTTGTTAACCAGCTGATCAGGTAAACTGTCAAATCCAACGTGTCCGGATAGCTTTAAATTTCGGATATTTGCTTCCAACTGAAACAAATAATCATTCATGTTTACTGTTGCGGGACTTGACTAACTCAACAGTTAACAGTATTTTGTTTCCCTAAATGGACAGAAATACTTTTGTGTATTGCTCATCGCCGGCGATATTATACACCTGCTACAAAAGAACCAACGCCCTTCTAAATGTACGCAAAATAATTGTTAACAAATTTACATTTTTCGAAATCTCCAACAACACAATGTCAATTTACTTTCAACTGTTTTCCCGACAGCAAAAACAAATGCAAATTTCACCGAAACGGTATAAAAATTGAGGAAAATAACACTCACCTTCACACGCTCAACATCTACCGCCGCCATTTTGAAAGCAATGTCAAAATTGTGAAACTTTCCTCTGAACCTGAAATTTCCATTGAGAATGTTGGAAAATTGTGGAAATTAGGTAAGTCCATTTAAAAAATTAAAAAATTGAAATATTTTATTATTAAACTATTGTCATCAATTATATTAATACATATAATAAAATAATATTTTTTAAAAAATAAGTTCTATACTTTATATTTATAGATTTATAGAAAATTGGGAAAATTGGTTTCGTAGTTCAAGTTTCCGGGAAAATGTATGAATTATTTTATATATATTTATTAATTTTTCTCTTTGTTTAAGTTTCGATAAGAAAGTAACTTAGTAACATTGACATTTTGTTGTAAATAATAAAAGTGAATAAAAATAAATATTTAAATTGAGTACCAACGTAAAGTAATGAAAAACAAAGTTGACGCAGAAGCCGCTTGGAGGCGCGTCGTCGCTGCGCCTAGGAAAATCGCCGTCCCGCCGGTTGGCAGGCTGCGTGTCATAGTTACTTGTAGTGACTACTTTCTAACATGGCAGATGAAATTGTGGAGTATTATCATGTGACGGGCAAATCTTCTCATTGATAAGATTGTTCGTGTTTGAAAACTGTGAAATATTTTCTCGTGATTATAGAAGAAATAGTGTAGAATTGGTGTCCGCGATGGCGGATCTGAAAAGTTCCCCGTTTAGTGACATCAAGCGGCCAGAGGAGGTGGTGGCGATGGCGATGAACGACAGCTTGAAATTTGCCGTACTGATAGGACTTATCGAGGTCGGACAGGTGTCTAATCGAGAGGTCGTGAACACAGTTCTTCACTTGGTGAGTCCTTTTGTATTTTATTTTTTCGATCTCAGTCGCCGACTGTCATGACCCCAGTGGATCGTCCCGAGAGGTTCATCGAACCTCGCCAAGTGCAAGTGTCTGTCCGAGCTGTCAAACGTGCTTTCGAGGACAAACCTCGTGTACATTGGACACCTATTTACGTGTCAGAATTTGTATTTGTAATGCACGTGTAGTGACAATAATTGTCGAAGAGCATCCGCTCATTTCCTTCCGCCACATCTCTCCAGTGGCTCAATATCTTTTTTTAAAACCAATTTATTTCCCTCTTGATTTTTACGCGCTCGCGATCGTTATGCTTTATTTCCCCTCAAGGACGCGAATCTTGTGAATAACACTTTCCAACCGTACCGGCCGGTTTGTTTACTTCAATGTTACACTTTTCTTCTTTCGAGTTCTGTTCCCTTTGAATTTACGACTGGTTGCATTTCAAAATGCACTTTTACCACGAGGCAATTTTATTTGTCAAAAAATAAATTACTATTTCTTGTGCAATTGTAAATTTTGTTACATTTTCATTTGTCGTGTGTAAAAATCTAATTTACGTACTATAAATGTTCTTATTGTTTTCAATTTTTCATAAATGATGAATTCACTTTAAAAATAGTAAAAATAAATTTAATGGCGAAACATTAAAATACGATTCACGAGACACAGAACAAGTTATATGAAAGAGGATCCTAATTATTGTCGTTACGTATTTTATAGATTCTAGACGTTTCTACGAGTGTTTTTTTCGCAATTGCTATTTTATATTGTGGAATAGAAAATTTATAAATAATTAATATATTATAATATTTACTGTTAATTCAATGCTCCTAATTTGATTAATTGCACTAACTTTTACGGAATGATGCCGTGTAAAAAAAGTTGAGTAATTTTACATGCCGAGAATGGGATGAAAAAAAGCACCTCTGAGAGTGTCTTTTTTACAAGTTTTTGTGTATTTTTACCTAACAGAATGGCTTAATATTATCCTAATGAGTGAGGAGACTTGAAGGATTTTTTAAACTTCTAATTGCCAATGAAATTTACATATTCAGTATGCGAAAGTGAGAAAAATAAAAAAAATTTATTTTATATTTTTCAAATTACATTACTTCTGCTCTAACTTGACTTTTTAATTTAAAAGTGAAATTCCTCTAGGTAAATGGAGAAAAGTTGGAATTGATTTTACGAAAATTTTTACTCTTTCTCGAGAAAGGTTGAATGAAAAATAGACATTGCCCACGCTCATTAGATACCTACTCTCTTTTGAAAGCAATCCCTGAATTGAAAAAATTTTACTTAATTCAAACAGAAGAAAGGTTTTTCTATTTTTAATAAGTTCATTTACATAAAAATGAAATCAAAAAGATTGCAAAGAAAACCAAAACTCTAATAAATAACAATCAGGATTCAGGGTCAAGCCGCAGGGAAAAGATAATTTTGTCATGAAATGCAGAAAAATGAATAAAACTGAATAAACGAAAAATGTATTTAAAATATATGTATAATGAAAGGGCTAATTTATGTTTCATTCTTTTTTTGATGCAGTAATCTTGTGTTTTTGTGTGAAAAATATACCCATTTTGTTTATTATATGCTTTTTCTCTATAACAAATTTCGTTTGACTGGTCTAAATTATGCAAATTTTTCTCTTGTTTATTTATAAAAAATTGAAAATAAATACCCATTTTATGCATAATTTTTATTTCTCAATAATAATATTGTTTACAAACTCATTATTTTATTTTTAAAAACAAAACATATTATACATATTCCCGTTTCTTAATATTTTTGTAGAAAATTTTCAATTTTCATAAGGAAATAATTTACATCATTTCTATTTCTTAATTACAATTATTATTTTATATTATAAGAATATTGTTATACTCTAACTTCTTCAAAATTATTTTCATATTCAATTATTATCTAAAGCTTTAAGTGAAATTTTAATTTTTAAATAAATTTTTATTAGAAAATTCTACGAGAATTCATATATTAAAATACAAAAGTAAATTATTTATTGAATAATTGAATTCTTTTGACGAATTTTAATAAAATTTTTAAGAATAGTTACATTTTTCAAGGAATTCGTTTATAATTGTATTAAAAATAATTTAAATTCTGCAATGAGTTTTATTATTTATGAAGATAATTAAATGTTTGCGTACAATTTTATTCAAATTTTTTTTAAATAATTGATTTCTTCTGGGTAGTTTTATTAAAATAGTAGAGATATTGAAAATTATTGAAATGAGGAAAACTTTTGAAAATAATTGAATTTTGAATAAGAATTTTACTATTTATAAAGATAATTGGGATTTTGACGGAGATTTTTTTTCAATTTTGAAAATAATTGAATTTTGTGATAAGAATTTTATTATTTTGGAAAGTAATAGAATTTTTGCAATCATTTGTAACTTCCTCAAAACTCAATTTTTTAGTGTTATTAACTAAAATTCTCCTATAAATCCATTATTTTAAATAATTAATTAAATATATATTGACAAATTTAACTAATTTTAGAAGATTTTAAATTATTAACATTTTTCAAAAATTGAAATTTTAAAAAACTTAATTACAAATAAATTCAAAATTGAAATTTTATAAAATTGCAAATTAAAACCTTTTGAAGTTTAATTATTTATGAAAATTGTAAACGCAACTCTTTTAAAATGGAATTAATTTTGAAATATTTAAGTAAAATTATTCATGAAATAATTTATTTATTTTGATAGTTGTTCGAGATTTAAGTTATTTAAAAAGAAATTATTGTCAGCAATTGAAAAAATTGAAGATTTTGTATTATAATTTGTGGTAATTTCATAGTTTATGAGGAAAACAGAAAAGACCCAATAATTCAGAATTTTCTTATGAATTCTAAAAGTTTAATTTTTTTTCAGCTCTCTTAATAAAAATCTCTGACTTTTCCCTGAATTTTCTATATCAGAATATATGATTATTATAGTTATAATAATATTAAAACTACCTATTCCCATTCATATTTTATTTTTAAGAAAATAAATTTGATTAAAAATTTTTTACGTTGTATTATTTTTAAAATTGCTAATTTTATTTTAAAAAGAGAGTAAAATTGTTGCTAGTAAAGTTGTAAAAGACAGTGAATCATTTTGTTTGCAATGAAAGCCTTCCGCATCGCCTCTAAAGTCGACTATTTGTTTTATCCCTTATCTTTAGAATTATTTGAAATCTATAGCGATTCTTTTCTTCGCATGCCTATTTAGTGGAAAAAAGTGCAGCAGTTTGTTAGGTTGTGTTTAAGACAAATTCGTTGCACGTGGTTCAATTAATCTTCGCCGTCTCTCTCTATCGACAGCTATAAGCTTCGTGAGTTTCTAGCTGTACGCATGGAGGTACTTCGTCAACCGCTGATTTTGCTTATAAATGCAGAAACCATAGTCTCGTCGTCTGTAATGTTTTAATTGGATGGGAAATTATCCAATATAGGCGTTGATAATTTATTATGGAAAAGCAAAGTCACAAATTACTTTGATTTCCCTTGTTTTGACGAACATGAATTAAGTGACCAATTAGTGCCTAATTGCGGTTATTTGTTCTGTACACTGTCAACAGATTGAGCGCATAATTGCAAATTATCATCACCAACAATGATTCGATATCTCCTGTCAAATAATAATCTTATTATACTGAAATACGCGAGCCTTTTAATTGTAAATTTCAAAATGCATTCAATTTCTTTTCGACCCTATAATTAAGTATATAAATTAATTACGTGACATTCAAATTAAAACCGGTTTTTACTTGTACAGAATAATGTATTTTAACTTTTTTTGGATTTTAAAAGCTGTAAAGTAAATTGCGCACTAGTAATAACTCTGTGGTCGAAAATACAATTAAAAGTAACGATGCGAATTAACCTATAATTCCGAAGCTTTATATGCTTAATGGGCTCAGCAAATCTGACTGCACTGCAGTTGGATATAGATGCTTTTTTCGACATCTTTGCAATACTCTTTTTTCATTTCAGAGTTCGCTTTTAATTATCTATCTATTGATGATTAGTTTATATGCATAGACGAGTAAAATAGTTTTATTGCTTTCATGTTTTTCAAGGTATGTACAAGTATCGAAAAGTAACTTGTTGTAACTCACTCAATGGGCAAACTATCAACATGAAATATTATGATTGAGGTCGTTTCCAGGTTTAAGCACACACAGCGACAGTAATCTCAAAGTGCGGCTCAATGAATTTAGTGTGCCATAAAATTTGTTGCAGATTGATTCCGCAGATTTGTGCAGATTTGTGCGAAGCACATTTTGGGATAACGGATAACTTTACTGTTCCGCCAGACTGGTAGACGGGGTAACGCTGTGACACGAATGGAATGGCACTGTGTGTAGCGAAGAATAGATGGCACAGCGAAAATGGCGCATAAGGGAAGACTGGAAGAGCGAAGGGTTATGTTATATCTGTGTTTTCTGTTTCTGTCACAATGTCTGTATCGATATTTTTCTAAAAAGCAAATAAGCAATTGCTATTGAAAAAATGCCATATTTATTCTTTTACGCCTGCGAAATGCGAATGCATGGCGTGCGATTCAGCGATTGGTTGGATACGTTTCGCAAGTCGGACTTCCGGTGAGAGTAATACGTTCTTTCTTTATGGTCCGTGCTTTTAATGTATAGTAGTTGAAATGAGATTCATTTTTAAAACTTGATAACGAAACTGAGTTAATGCTTTTTTCTATCTGCTCACTCAAGTGTATTGTTGACACGATTTACTATTAATGTTATTGGTGCAAATTTTTTTATTAATATATATCGTCTTTGTCATAATTTGTCATACGAAAACAATTAAAATTATTAATTAGGTTTGAGAGTAATAAGCAATTTCTCAAAACACCATTAAACGTTGTATTTATTACGAATAGAAGTATAAATTTGTCGTACCAACGCGTATTAAAGTTGTATATGTCAGCAAATGAATTGAGTCGAAAGAAGTCCAATGGAAT